GCTCATCAAAAGTTGATAATATAAAAAAAAATTCACCGTGCCGTTTTTAAATTATAAGCCCCTGAAGCTGTAATTAAGGGTGTTTTTAGGAGGTCATACTGCTGCTATGATAACCTATTACGTCACGAAAATGATAACAACGTGTTCACCAATGATTGGGCAGTTTTTTGCTACCATGATTGTAGCATCCAGTGATAAAGAGTGGTTATAACGACCCATCAAAATCTAAGTGCTGGAAACTGTTCTGAGCCACCTTAATTGGGAGTACTTAATTGTTCGACTCCAAACACGAAAGATCAGTTCATCGCTTCGACAGCCTTTCGTTTCACAAAATTGTTTACGACCCATCGACTGACTGGGACCGTCGACACTCTGATTGGCCACGAACACTATCGGAGGATTATGCGTGTATGGAGGCACTCTGATTGACTACGAAAATTATCCGAAGAATAGGGTTACACGGACGGGCTACGAAAACTATCCGAAGATTAGGGTTACGAACACTTGCGTGCAAAGAGGATGACTTTAGTGGCTAGCCTCTTCGAGGCCGGTAGCCACAAGAATTGAAACAATTTCTTATTTGGAAAATAATTTGCGATGTATCGAGCATAAAAAACCTGAAAAAAAAAATCAGAAGATCTAGAGCAACGTGTGTCCTGTATATCTTCAGAATGTGGTCTTATTTTTAAACATAGAGTACCTCACAAATAAAGAAGGACCACAACCATTTGGATATGGAGTAAGCACCTCTTCCACTCAGGAACAGCTCTATAAGAATCTAAATTGCTTGTATTCTTAGAAGACACCTCATATCTAAGACCTTTTTCAAGATTAACCTGAAAAAATCTAGTTTCATACAAGTGGGTGCTTAGTGCAATGCAACAAGAGAGCACGAAGGGTAGTAAAGTAAAGTAAAATCCTTTATTTAAAACACGATTATCGTTTAAGCACTACATGCTTGGGGCGTCGTGTATCTAATTAATTATTTAATTATCTAATTACCTACTGATAAAATGAATGAAATATAAGATATTAACTTACTTTATCACAAATCTGATTTCCCTAAATATCGGACTAGATTTTGCCTTTCTATAAAATTGTATAAAATTATAATCCTCCATTTAGGTCGTATTCCTAAGGTAACGCCCCTACGGTTCTTTTTTGATGTGGTATCCAGTTCTCCCAAGGATAACGTTACCACCGCATTGAATAGGTGTTTTTGTCGAGGAAAGCCGCTTCGGTTTTCCACGTTAGCAAAATTCGCATTACAGCACGATTGGGTTTCGTACATTCTGCTACAAGTCAGGAGTGATCTGAAAATAACTAGAGAGGGGTTAGCTTGGAAATAACGCCTACATGGTGGTGGATTAGCTCTTTTACCCTTCATCCCGGCTCTCTTGACTACAGTAACGTCTTAACACTATAGAAGAATTCATAGAAACACAGAAAACCTCAAAAGGGCCATAGCTGGGAAAAATAAGCATTTGGCTAAAATTGGAAACGTCGGCCCTACTTTTTTTTCCTGACGTTTATCCCTATTTAAATGAAAGCGCCATTTAAATATCTTATTACTCTCTTATGTGGCCGTTAATGATTTTGTCAATAAAAGACCATTGCTCTGTCAAATGAAAGTTTAGAGCTCATAGGTAACGAATATAAACAGAATTACGGTACATAAGATACCGTCATCAGCCCCTTTGATTCAGTAATCAAACCTGTCATACTTAACTAACTTGGGTCTCACAAATTAATCAAACTCTTTTGTTTTAAACAGTGAAGATGAAGAGAGTATTCCAAAGCCCCAAAGTGTTTGTCGCAATTGTTATTTTCGTTCCCGTAATTATTGTGATATACATGAGTCAAGAAAACGAGATGACGAGATTAACAGCGCCAAAGAGAGAAACAAGAAACGAGTCTGTGATACCGACATCTGTAGTGACAACTAACCGCACCAAAACCAGATTAAATGTGATTCTGTTGACGCATATGAGCTCTGGATCGACAATTGTGGNAAACCGTTATTTAAAGGATTAAACATATATTGCAAGGATTTAATTTTGCTACAAACGGCTTGCCATAGTCTAGGGTTAGGAGAGCCGTGAAGGTCACAGAACCTCTAGTACATCACTTTAAAACATTTCCTGAAAAGTATTGCCTGTTTCTCTTTATCCGAAACGTTTGAGTATTAAAAAACATTTTCAGTCGAAAATTAGTGCATTCCTAGTTGCCTTCTAAGTAGTAGTTTTGTCTCCAACCAACTGACCTAGGGCCAGATTCACGAAGGCCTTTTAGATTAAGATGGTGACTGGTAAGTATAGTTCGAATACAAAAGGCTATGTTGCGAAATAATGCTTAGGATTCGTCTTAACTTAGGAGAGCTTCGTAAATTGAGACCCTGGTTTCCATATTAGAAAGCCGTAAACGAGCAAAATATAGGATTGAGCGTTAAATTCACTTGTTCTGTAGTTCTGTAGTTCTGTGTTCACTTGTTCTGATACGCATCCTCTAAGCTAGCAAGAAATCTCAATCTTATAATTTTACAGTTCTTTATGTAACAATATATTATAATCACGAACGCAAAATTTTGGTTTGCTCTTAGCTTTCTTTGATATTTTCATTTTTCATAACGCCCATGAAGCAAGATAATTTCTGTTTGAAACAAGCCGCTGGAGAAGTTTCTGCTCTTTAGTTAAAGCCTTAACGAAACATACTAGTTAGAAAACATCTTGCGTAATTCTAAACACTACATCCAAAGTTTCTGACATGGACAAAAAGACCCGAAGCCAAGCGACCAAGATCTTTTAAACTAATAATCTTACGTTAAGGCGTGCTGTTCGATCTTGGACTCTCGGCTGCGCCAATTACCTATCACGACGGTTTTGTCGCGTCTCTGGAGGAAACAGTGCTAACATTATGATTAAATCCTTTCTCTCGGACATGAAATGCTCACAGAGCACTAAGATGAAGGGAAGGGAAGGGAATTTTGTTAACGGAGAGCAAAGTTTAGGTGTTTAGGTCTGCTGTAACTCAATATAACACTCACATCCTTTTTATAGTTCATGCGATCAGTGCACCAGTATAGTTTTTTGTAAAAAAAAAACTAGATTCTTATTATTAGGTTTTTATCAACGAAAATATGGCTTTTGACTGTCATGCTGATGATAGTAAGCGCTTTTTGTTGAGTGGGGACTGCCCTCGGTGAAGAAACAAAAATAAAACAAGTTATGCGACACATATACCCATCGTCTTTATTGCTTTCGTATCCCTTAAGTATTATGCTGTAATATCTGGGTCAAATATTAGAGGTCGCAGAATTGAATCACAGTGCTTGTGTCTACATTACGTTTCTGCTGAATGTACCAAAAGAAGCAGAATGTTGCATCCTGTTAAGGTACGGTGAACTCTATATATGAATTACAAGATTAGACTTCAATTCGGAGTTTGTTTTAATCTCTAGGCCAAGCCTATTGGCAGTGCTTGGCACAGAAAAGCCGATAAACACCACTGTTGTGGAATTGTCGACCTAGTACTCGATTACGTGATCATCCGTTCAACTGTTAAATTTAACTCAGATCGCCGAGTACCTAAAGTATCTCAGCAATAATGACACTGAGTATAATAAATATCTGGAATGGAAGTGGAATGGATATGGTGACATCACTGGAACCGCTATATGAGATTACTGGCTGCCAAAGTATCCAGTTTACTGCAAAGTCTGTGTTGCGCTTGCAGAAGGACGAATACATAAGGGTGGTCTGAAACCAATACCTTGCAAGCCGAGGCAATTTGCCGACTGGAAAATAACAAAAGACGCCTAACTTATTAGTTTAAATATGTAGGGACTTGCGACAACAAGAAGGCCGTGAAGGTAACAGAACCCCTAGCAGAAAGAGATTTATGCTGATCTTGTCATGATCACGTTTTTTGACTGCACAGCAACATGCAAAGTCAAAATGCATGAAATTTCAGAAATGAAATTCAAAATATATATATTTAAAGGAACAATAAAACCAAACATATTAGCGCAATAAATGGTGGCGGTCTGTCATAATTTGTAGTGTCCGATTTTCTAAGTGCTTACAATGTACCGAACAGACTCCTCGGCGGGTTGCAACAATACTTGAAACTCACAAAATTCTGTTAAGCTTTATATCATAATGTTTTACGAAAGGCAAAGAAAGAAAGGAATAGATGTGTTCCAAGTTACCGACAACTTCGGTGATGTACGTAACTCCGTTCCAGCTCGGCAACCTCAGAAACACGAGTAGCACCATTGTCGGCTAAACGCATTTCTAAGGACAATTTTTGGATTTGCTCGTCTTTTTTCCTAGGTGACTGATTTTATTTAATGTTATTAGTTGACTCATTGAATTTCAAATTAGTTCTATTTAAAAAAAAAATTGCAAAATTTGATTGAAACCCATGAGAACAGAAGGTATCGAAAAATAATCAAATCTTTCTTTTCTAGTTTTGTTTTAAATAAGAAATGAAAGCAACGCACAAAGTCATAATGCATGAAATTTCAGAAGTGACATTCAAAATATATATTTAAAGAAACAATAAAACCAAAGATATTATCGTAATAAATGGCGGCGGTCTGTCATAATTTGTAGTGTCCGATTTTCTAAGTGCTTACAGTGAACCGAACAGACTCCTCTCGGCGGGTTGCAACAATACTTGAAAGTCACAAAATTCTATTGCGCTTTATACCACAGCGTTTTACGAAAGGCAAAGAAACAAAGGAAAAGATGTGTTCCAAGTTATCAGCAACTTCGGTAATGTGCGTTATATATTCCCCAAGCACTGTTAAGCCAATATTTTCTGCAAAGCTTGTCGAATAACAAAGTATGTCATGAAATCAGGGATTGGAACGAGTTAACTTCGAGAGGAGAGCGCATGCAGACATTCCTTAAGATCCCTTTAGCACCAGTGACACATCGATTGATATAATTTTCTAGGACTTGCATGCGACTGAAAAAAGACGAAAGAAGACTTTTTTTCTTGGTAATAAACGTGCGACATACACATTTTAAGTTGATCCTTAAATCGGATGAAGGAAAAGACGTCGTCAACTTCAATATAACTCTGTTGACTGCAAAGCTCAGTTTGTAAAACGTTGGTCAAATATAAAGAACGAATCAAAATTACTAGGCACAGCTCAAGATCCAACAAGATTGCACCCGATCGAAGAAAACAGAAATCTCTCTGGAGAATGATGGTTCACGTGACCACATTCCCGTTCTCCTTTCTCTGGTATGAATGGGGTTATGTTGTCAGTCAAGATCGAGAAATTGATTTTACTACAGCATATAATGGTTAATTAAGGATTTATACTGTGAGAGATATTTGAAGACTTAAGAACTAGCAAATATCACGAGTTGTGTTTATCCTTAATTGCTTGGGCGTTCATTTGATAACTCATTTATCATCTGACTGAGAAAACAACAGCACAAATGCGGTAATATTTTAGGTAATGAAATGAACTCACTACGATTCCCACCTTTTACCTTTAGTAGGATTGTAACATTTTAAACGACATTTAAACGGTAGCTTCGGCGTCATCTTGGTTCCCACTACAAAAGTAGATTTTTAAGTCATAATAGGCTTCCAATACGTATTAGTTCAGGTGTGAAAGAGTCAAGAAAAAAAGCTCCAGCTTGTTAAACAGCTTTGCAAAAATGGCGATAAGATGACGCCGAGACGGGATGAAATGGCTTTTAAATTTCTTTTAAAATGTTTTTCTATAACGTTTTTTAATCAGGAGACTGTAATAAAGATACTAACTCTATCACATCAAAGAAAAAAATTAAATTAATTGATTGTACAGGATAATTCGCCTTTTCGAAACTCTTCTAAGCAAAAATTAAAAACGATCAACTCATCTACGCCTTAAAAGAAATGATACATTTTAATAGGAGTACGAGCATTTTGTGTAGTTTTTTAAGTACTGAATTACTAGACAGCAAACTGAGACAAACTGCAGGTGTAAGTGTACGTTGCTCTGAATAAAGCAAACAGCTCTCGATAATGGTGACTTTCCTTTATGTGCGTATGTAAAAGGATACAAAATGAAATCTATGTAACAACCCCTGCTCTCAAACCACTAATCCTGAGCTTGAATGATTCCAAATTAGCTTCATCTTTTCGAGATTTACCTGAAAAATAAACCATTATTTTTAAGTGTTCAGTAGTCCGTATTGTTCAGTGTTTCTTAAATTTTCTTATAGTTCGAAGATAATAATTTGGCTACCCTTTATCCTTTTAAATGATACTGGCTTAAGTCCAAATGCCAGAACAAATCTCTTGGCTTGGTATGGGAATTAGGGCCAAAATGGCTCTGTTTGGTATGTCATTTTGTGTTTGCATAAACGAAAACATAAATACAGGAGGGAACAGGGATGAGCTCATTCCAATATCAAATTATCCTGGTATCATTTAAACACCCTAAATTGGATTAAACTGCCCTCCATCAAAGAAATTCAGGAGGATTACTGTAACTTCACTTCTCGTTTGTTTATGTTGGGCAAATCATTGTCAAACGTGAAATTCAAGCCTTCCTGGTCTCTGTACTTTTCTTTTTTCTTTAAGTCTTCTATCACGTCACGGGGTCCTACCTCAAAGTTCGGTCCTTTCCTTACGTAAAGCACTACGTCAACAGTCAATTAGGCTAAAATTAAATTTTCCGTCTTACCACATGAATTTATTTAAAGTAAGGTTCGCTCTTAAAATTCTCAATAGTGGTCTGAAAGCTTACCTTGAAATCTTCACTCTGCTGATAATCTTCATCTTTTCAGTCTTCACCATTTTTGCCAAGACATTCCCTGGAAACTCATACGCTTTGCCTGTTTCCAATCCAGTAGCCTTAAATTCAAGTCTTTATTGATCTACTTCATGCGGCTCCCATTAGGCAAAGTCCTAACTTTACTGTTACTGACCTTTTGTAAACCTTCCAGTCTTTCATTGGTATTCCATTGCCACCTCAAGGTCAGAATTAGTTAGTAAGAAGATTGCCGAGTTCAACTGATACAGGAGCATCTGGGTAAGCAAGAGTAACAGACTTAAGCAACAAAACATTTTTTCATCTATTTCTTTTTGAAAACAAAAATAGAAATGCGAACGAAGTTTACACTCAGGGTAAGTGTGGAATCCCGGAGAGACGCCATGAGGCTTAAAAGGCCTCCTCGTAGACTTCCTCGTTATAGTACAATGTATCTTTGAAGGCTCGCACTACCTCTTAATTTTGGACATGTTTACAGATGTTTACATGTATGGACAAAGGTACGTTCACGGTTTGGTTTGAAGTTTCGTCCGTACTTGTTTAATGAAAACAATTTGCACAACTCGGTAAAACTAAACCAACTGTGCTGCACTTTGGGCACGAACGTTCCCGCCACAGTCTACCAAATGATCGATGGCGAATAATGAAATGTTTGATTTCCAATTAGGTCGTGCTTTTTCATGACGTGGTCTTGCTTAGATGCAACTGCCTGAAATAGTCTTAAATTGAGTAACTTAATTTCATCTATATCAGAAATCCTATATCATTATGTACACGCGTATTGGTTAATATGATATTATAATAATCAATCTTTATATCGCCACAAGAATGTTATCTTCAGGTTGAGCCACATAAACTTATGTTGGAAACAAATTAACCTGGAAGCAATTTGACCCACAAAATGTATTGCACTCAACAGAATAACTCACTTTTGATTGGTTGAGAGGAGTTACAATTTAGTCCAAATTTTACTCAGTAGGAATACCATTCATATTTATATGGCAAGAGTCTATAACCACAGTGAAGTACAGCAAATTAAAAAATAACAAACAATTGCCCTTAATTTATTTTACTTTGGTAACTTATAAGAAGATGGCTGGGAGATGTGCTGGATACACGCAAACTAAACCCTTGAGTTTCCGAATGGCTCAGATTCCTTACCCTTCTTTCGTTATTTACTTGAACGGGCCATTTACTTAAAAATTATACGGCCTTCTCCTACAATTTGTCATCAACAGTTGCTCAAGATATTTTCAAAGTTCTCAAGTTGTACCTATCTAAAGGTGCATACATTTTTATGACCTTTAAAAGCACAAATTGTAGCTATTGGGTTTGAACTTTACACGAGTATTAATAAGCAGTTTCCTACACAACACAATAATAGACAATAAAATAGGCAACAGACACCAAAATTTCTCTAAGACAGATATAGTGTCTTATGTATACAGCACGCGCTATCCTGTCAGAATTCAGTAATCAGTCAATCGATTGTCTCTGGAGATGAATGTGGAGGGTGGTTTTAAATTTTATTAAATACTTTAAGCTGCCCACCTTCTGTAAATTCTTTCCAGCTTGATTCATTTGTAGTTCTTCATCGTGTGAGAATTCCCATGAGTGGAGACAGCCCACATGATATGAAGTGTTTGTGGGTCAATCTGTAGATATGAAACAGTTACAATTGCTTGTGCACAGTATCCTCGGCTGGTGTGTAGTTCAACCATTCTTCCCTGGTGAGCTACCCCTTTCTTTAGACGAAGCAGTTTTAATAAGTCTGGAATTGTTCCATTTCACATTGTAAGATCCAAAATTAACAACCTCCTGCAATATAAACGGAAATAATTCATGTGTCACTCATCTTTATGGAATACACGTCCCACCAAAAAGAAAGGCTCCTTTATTGCTTATAGTCATGTAATTTCTGCGTTACGCGTTAAAACATGACGAATACACAAGACCTCAAGCTTATATGTTTTTGAACACGAATTTTTTTCCTATTTCATTGCCTCAAATTCGTTAACACCATAACCATAGCCGTAGAATTGTAACATGGTGAATCTGATAAAGTAAATTAAAAATAAAATGTGCACAACAAAACTGTCAAAACTGGAAAATAAATCATTAAAAGTGAAAACTGGCGAACACTCTAGAAACTCATGCCCTCCTGCATCAATGTTGAAAAGATTGAATAATTCGGCAGAATTTATAACTTTAGTTGTAACCGTTTATTGAGAGACATTTAAATATTTTAGAAACGAGCTGATTTGGTGACGTTTATGATATGGGTGTCAAACATTTTTCAGTTTCTAAATACTGCCAACTGACTAGATCTGAAAAAGTATACAACAGAGTAGACTTTGCAATTTTGGCTAAACTACAGAATACAGGGCCACTTTTAATCATCCACCAAACAAGCCGGCTCGTTTGGCTCGTTTGCTCCTTTGTCATTCACTGCCGAGCCAAACGAGCGAAACGAGCCACCAGATATATAGACCTAGGACTCAACGCATATAGAGATTATTCCTCGTTCTTTATCTACTGCCGAGCCAGACGAGCCAAACGAGCCACTAAACATATAGACCTAGGTTTTAACGTATATATGGATTATTCCTCGTTCTTTTATCCACTGCCGAGCCAAAAGAGACAAACTAGCCACTAAATATATAGACCTAGGTTTTAACGTTTATATAGATTATTCCTCGTTCTTTTATCCACTGCCGAGCCAAAAGAGCCACTAAATTTATGCACCTTCAAAGGCGGCCCTGTATTGTGTAGTTGTTTGGTTAGCCTTTTGTCTGCTTATCCTGCTTTTTTTCTTGCAAGATTGTCATGGGATAGATAAATAACAAACTCAAAAAACAATGTTGGGCTTGTTGGTAGTATCTTTCAGTTAAAGTTAGTTGTTCCAGTAAGGGGGTTAGGCCTCGTGTTTTGGCTTATCCTGATACGCATCGATACGCATGAATAATATGATGATTGCCACAGAATAAAAGAAAACAAATTCAAAAGACATTCTGTAACTGCCCTTAGGCTAAGAGTCCTAAGAGGCAGTATTACAGCGTAGATGCCATACATGGATGACTGCCCTGCTCCGAGAAACCTAGATCATACTATTCACCTCAGTTAGGTTTGATTTCAGGACATGTTCGATAAAACATCCGTTATTTTCACGAGGCAAGCAAAAGAAACCGTAAAGAATTCAGTTTATTTTATTCCACGAGGGCACGGTAACGAATCCTACAATCTGATTGGTTCTGACCGCGGTCCAAACCTTTTATTAGTCTTTCATACAGCTACTTGCAATGACTCTGTTACTAGGGTTATCAGTTGAGTAAGGCTCGAGGGAAGTTTGGTTACGAAGTTTTGGCTGCAAAATTAAGGCGGTGTCACGGGCAACCTACCTTGTTTCTGTTGGTAACTGAACAATATCAACAGCCGTTGGTCGCCTGTCATGCCGCGTACAATTTCGCGCGCTTTGCTGCCAATTGACGTCAAAGGCCGACAAGTTGCCAACGGATACGGAGCCAGTTGCTCGTGACAACAACGCGCTTTTCACATTAAAACTTGGTGACCATGCAAACTTTCGTCCCGCCTTACTCAACTGATAATCGTAGTACATATGTGCTACCGCAACGAGTATCAATCGAAGGAAGGCCGAAGTGTATTTCAACATCTTACGTTGGGGCATAACTTCGGATAGTGGTACGTTGCAAAATCGATATTGGTCGTTGAAATATTGATTTGTTTACATCTGGGTGAGTGACAAATTTGCATATTCTTTGACTCTAACGATGGTTGTTTCTACACTACGCTTATCCACGAATAAAAATGAATCAATTTCAGTCGAGTTTACCTCTCTGATCGTTGGTGTATTTGAGAGAATTTCTGTGGAATACACTTGATGAATCTTCTCGTTTTCTGATTTCAAGTGACTCGCAAACAATGACAGAAATTGTTTTTGTCGTACAACTTCAAATTTTATATTTCACGCCGGGAAGACAACGTTGTAGAACTTACAAGTGGTGAACTAAATGCAATAAATATTAAATTGTAAGAAACGAATCTGTTCTTTAATGCAAGCTTTTGTGTCTGGTATCTGAGTTAGTGGTTGCGAAGGTTTTTTTACGAATGGTTTGTTGACGGCACGTTTTACAAGCCGATTTAGAGACATCCACTTGTAAGTCAATTACCGCAGGAAAAACATGAACATGTTATTTCCCGACTTAGGGTCGGTCCGTATAGTGAAAAACTGTGACCACGGACTAAAAATGCGGCCACGAGCGGCACTTTCATGACCTCAGTCATAGTTTTTCACTGATAGGGACTTCCGAGCCGGCAAATAACGGCCTTATGCGCATACTGACGCCTCGAGAACCGATGACGATGAGTCGGCAAATAACATCTAGTTGCGATCTAATTCGCCTCGCTCAAACGAACGTAAATTAATATGATAGGATGCGCAAGCGGATCCAAAATTATGTGAAGTCACAAAGTAAAATGCAGGCACTCTTTCTTACAACGAAAAAGCTGATTATCAGCACCCATAGTAGCGCTTGCTTTCTTTCCGCGCTCGCTTGCGAGTTGGTCCTTCTGTCGTCTCATTCGACTCGTCGCTTCTCTGGCCTTTTTGAACCGTTTTTCATCCTCAGAGCCGGACGGCAAATTATAGGATTCATACTTTGCTATCACTTGCCAGCCATCCTTGCTCTTGCTAGTAATTTTTATTACTTTTTGCCGTTTGCGAATAAACCCCCTGGCCCCTTCGGAATGCTTCCTTAATGAGGCTTCTCTGTACTGGTTTTCTCGTTTTTTGTCGTGTGTCTTCTGCACCAAGTAACAGCCTAATTTGGTTTGGTTTTTATGGTTTCAATAATGAATCTAATTCTGCATTCAGAATTCTGCATTCATTGCACAAAGTCTTTATCTGTCTTGTTGTTTGTTGAAAAGACCTGGTCAACGGCTCCCGAGTTGCCAGTTCCAGCACAGGGTTAACCCTCCAGTAGAGGCGGCAGTTTAGAACTGTTCAAGTCGCTGTTTTTAATCGGGCAAATTGGTGAGTAGGAGATCGCTTGTGTTGCTTGCTTGCGTGGCGAAATGTTTTGTACTGTTGATGCCTGAGAGGCTTGTTTCAGTGTTAAATTTTACACCAATATAAGCCTGTGAGGCTCGCTGGTGTCCAATTACACACAAACAGAGTCCAATGGACGGAGTGTACAGTCGATTGGGCCCGGTCGATTGAGTTTAAGATTCACGAGTGAAAATTGACAATAAAGTTGACAGTTACTTGTGATAATATATAATTTGTTCGTGGCCAGTCTTACGCAGCGCTTTTCGTTTCGTTTGGTCTCTGAAGAGTCCTTTGGCCTGGACGAAACGAACGCGCTGCGTACGTCTAGTCACGAACAATGTATTATCACAAGGAACTGTTAACTTTTACTGTCAATTTTCACTCGTGAATCTGTGCGATCGAAAATCCTTATGCGATATAAGGCGAGATTGCTGTCACCATTTTGTTAGCGAACGGGACTTTGGGCGCGATATTCAACGAGTTCGCCAAGCGGAAAAGGCCTCTGAAGAGTCCCTTGCTGGGACGAAACGAAAGCGCTGCGCAAGACTAGCCACGGATAATGTACTATCACAAGGAAATCTTAATAAGAATACTTTTTAATTGTATTTCACGCTTTTGGGTTCGCACCGCGCTTTGAGAACGAAGATGATACATTATAGAAGAAGAGATTTTCTCAACAATTTAACTATAAAACTTCGACAATATGGAAAAACTTAAAACCATTTTGGTTTAAAAACGACGTTTCGACGTTCGCTTAACGTCATTATTAAGTCAACTTCAGAATGAATAAAATGGATAAAATGTAAATATAAACATTATATTTACATTTGTATCCATTTTCGCTCGCTTAACGTCATTATTAAGTAAACTCCAGAGCAAATAAAAAGGATACAAATGTAAATTGTCTCGAGCTTTAAGAACGAAGGTAGGTATTTAGCGCTTTTAGGTGATTTTAGCAAGTTTGGGCTCTCACGCTTTATGCAGTTTACAAATGGTGCACCGATCGGATGCCTACTTTTCCATTTTGTACCAATGGTACCAATCGACAAATAGGTTTCGCACGGCTTTCGAGTGTGAATATGACTACTTTCTCTTTTTCACCAATGGTACCAATGGTACCAATCTTTGGCACGGCTTTCGAGTGTTCATGAGTGTAAATATATGCAGCTTACATATGCTATACCAATCGACAAATCGCTTTCGCACGGCTCTCACTATAACTGTGTTTAAAATGCCGGATGCAGTTTACAAATGGTTTACCAATCGACTGAGGAGCTTTCCATTCGTACCGGTGGTACGAATCGTAGGCTTCTTTGACAAATGGTGATCATTTACCCAATGGTACGATTGGTGAGGGTGTTCTGACGAATCGTATCTGTTTGTGTATATTGCACATGTGTCTTGCCGACGTCGGGTACTTTTGAACTGATAATGCCTGTGGGGCTTGCCTATGTGGCTTTTGAACTGATAATTCATGTGTGGTTCATGTATACCGTTCCAATCAAAACAGAGGCAATTATTCTCGGGAAATCCGCCTTTGTTGGGCCTGTTCCCCCTTTACTTTGGCACAGACCTTGCTGACCTGGTTGAATCTAACACTTGCCTAGGAGTTAAAATCGACCGTAGACTTTCATAGTCAGTACATGTTCACTCCGTAAAGAAGCATTTTGCTCAAAAGGTTGGAGCATCTTAAAGAGAATGAAAGTTCTTCTAAAAAAGTCTCTTGAGGAAATATACTTTAAAACTATTATTC